ATTATATATTATATATAATGTTGTTGTTGTTGTTATTTGCCATCGAGTCGTAATATATAATTTATATACAATGTATTTATATAAAGAAGCTCTGGTGGCACAGTGGATAAGGAATTTGGCTGCTAACCAGTAGGCCAGTAGTTCAAACCCTCTAGCTGCTCTGTGGAAGGAAGATGGGGCAAAACAGCCTCAGAAACCCAGGGAGGGTCGTTATGAGTTGGAATCAACTCAATGGCAGTGAATTTAAAAAAATATATATATTTTTTTATAACAGGTAAACTGCTTCTAACTCAAAAACTCACTGCCATCAAGTCGATTCTTACTCATAGCAACCCTTCCTTGGGTTTCCAAGGCACTATCTCTACGGAAGTAGATTGCCCAATCTTCCATAGAGTGGGTTGTGGGTTTGAACTGCCAGTCTTCTGGTTAGCAGTCAAATGCCTTAGCCACCACACCACCAGAGCTCCTAAACTACTACTATTTTACACACACACACACAAAAAATGTTTATACTCCAGGCACAAGTGTATGTGTGTGTGTGTGTGTGTGTATCCATTTCACATATATGTATGAGCATATATAAACACATCAAATGCATGCATGTATATCTATATGATTTTGTGTTTGCATGAGATAGTCCTGGAAGAAGCCTAAGAAACTGATAACATCAGCTGCTTTTGAAAAGAGGATCTGCATACCTGGAAAGCAGGGTAAGAAGACTCTTCAGTTTGCCCTTTTGTACCTTCCAAATACTGAGTCAAATAACTGTATTTTATACTCAAAGAATAAGCAGTTCCTGTAGGAGAAAATAATGGAAGAGTTAGACATCAGTGCAGTCCCTGGGAGGGGCACACAGTTAATGCACTTGGCTGTGATCTAGAAGTTTGAAGGTTCATGTCCACCCAGAGGCTCCTTGGTAGAAAGTCGTGGTGATGTGTTTCTGAAAAATCAGCCATTGTCAACCCTACAGAGCACAGTTCTACTCTGATACACACAAGGCACCAGGAGTCAGAGTTACCTTGATGGCGAATAGTCTTATTTTTGTAGACATTACTACAAATGAGCCTTTCAAAGATGGGTTTAAAGGCAGTGTAATCAATGTTTGCCCTATGGATATTATTTTAAAATTTAAAACTGTCTTACTGCTACATCGATGGGTAACTGGGTTTAGCATACAACTTTCAGTGCATATTAGCAAAGATTATATGCTCTGCAAATCTGCTGAGACAGTCAAAGGTGGCAGCATTGGTGACAAAGACGCTGCTGGGGAAGATGCAGCATTTACAAATGTGTAACAAAAGAAAGTCAATGCCATCAATAAAATCATGCCATGGAAGGCTATTAAAATAAGAGAAATTCATGTCCTCCAATTGTACATATGGAAAATATTGAATTGACAAATGTGTTTTCTATATTTTACAACAATAAAAGATAACATAGAAAGCAATTGTGATGTTGCATTGGAATACTGTTGTTGTTGTTGTTAAGTGCCGTCGAGTCATTTCCGACTCATAGCGACCCCATGCACAGCAGAACGAAATACTGCCCGATCCTGTGCCATCCCCAC